GTATCACAACAACAACATTCAACTTCATTAGTGATCTTCATTCTTACAAGAACTTCCCATATAGGTATCCTCATATGCCACAACCTCCACAACATAAAAGAAATTTTGAAAGGAATACCTTTCTCCCAGATTTGCATTATGTTCTCCTTCCTCTCTTGTCTTTGTCTAACTAGTTCCCAGAAACTACCAACTGTGAATTTATCATTTTCTGTAGGCATCCACTAGGCTTTATCTCTTTCATCTAATATTTGCCCTCTACCCAAAGCTTTTTGAATATGAGAACACACCTCCTTTGAAAAATTATCATGTAGCATGTCAATATTCCAACCCTTCTCATCAATAAGCTGATGTACCTCCTCAAAGTGTTTCTAAACTTGATCAATAGGAAGATGAAAATACAAAGGACCTAGTTAAGTCCAGTTATCAAACAAAACACTGATTTGCCCAGCTCTAGGTTCCCACCAAATTTCTTGGTCAAAATAGTTCCTAGCTATTAACATCAACTTCCAGACTTGGGAACCCCCTCTCCATTCCACTATCTGTGGATTATGTCTCTTGCAATACTTTTTCCACATAAAACTGAACCAAAGAGTATTGTGATTCCTAAAATTTCACCACAATTTAGCAAATAAAGCCTTGGAAATATCAAACAGGGATTTAAAACCCAGACCGCCTTCTGCTTTAGGGAGAAAAATATCATTCCATCCAATCCAATGCGTAGCTCTGCCCTCTTCCTTGAAATTCCACAAGAACTTTGCAAATATTCTGTGAATATCATGTATAACACATTTTGAAGGACTCGTAACTGATAACAACAGGTATATGGGGATACTTTGAAACACATATTTAATTGACACTACCTTACCTCCAAAAGAGAGTAACTTCCCTTTCCAAACCTGTAGTTTGGTCTAATCTTTTGATGAGTTCAGAGAAATGAACCTTCTTCTTTTTAGCATGTCTAATAGGACATCCTAAATACATCACGGGAAAACTGCCTCTCAGAAAACCAGTAACATCCTTCATTTCTTGAACCACAGAATGAGAAACCTTACTAATTATATGAAAGAAACTCTTTGCTTTATTTATCAGTTGACCAGACTGAGATTCATAAAGAGTAAGAGTTTTCATTATTAATTACAGAGATCTTTTATCAGCATTAGTAAAAATAATAGTATCATCTACATAGGCCAAATGATTGATTTGATTACTCCACTTAGGTAATCCATACCTCTTAAACTCATGATTATAAAACAAGTGATTACGAGCTTTGGATAGCACCTCAGCAGTCAAAATAAATAAAGCGGGGGATAGAGGGTTTCCTTGCTTTACCCTCTAGTACAGTGAAAAAATCCATGTGCCCATCTTTTCTATAACTTTCATAAAAAAATCTCCAATCAAGTCTATCGTAGGCACTGTCATTTCTAATTTAATTACCACATTAGTAGGTTTACCTCTTTTTCTGATATCAGCAATAATTTCTTAGGCCAGTAACACATTTTCAGTAATTCTCATGCCTTTATCAAAACCATACTGATGAGGAGAGATTAAAGAAGGTAACAACCCTTCTAACCTGTCATGAATCAGTCTAGAAATAACTTTGTTAGTAAAATTACTCAAACTAATTGGTCTAAAATCAGAAAAGGATCGAATGATATCTTTTTTTTGGTAATAGGATCAAATTTGTATGAGTAATAGACTTTGGTAATGTAGAACCTTGAAAAAAGGCATGCACCACCTTAATAACATCAGTACCCACAATACTCTAACATTCCTGGTAGAAACAGGTTTATAATTCCATCAGGTCCACATGAACTCTCAGCATTAAGTTTAAACAATAGCTTCTTGATCTCCTCTTCTCTAGGTATTTCACAAAGTTTGTAGGAGCTCTGGTGTTAAAGTAGGCATGAGTTGAAAAATAATTCTTATTTTTAAAGATGGAGTAGAAAGATAATTGAAAATATAGTTGAAATTTTATCTCCACATGTACATAGTATTTCAGGCCTTTTTTTTTTTTTGCAAAAAAACTCTTCAATTCACTATCATCAAATCGTTTTCTACTTGATCTGAACCTACTTCTAATCAGTCTTCGACCTTGTCAATCGTTGACTTGATACCACTTGGTTGCTACTTTAATATAATTTGGTCGTGACCTGCATATTGAAAAACTATTAGTAAAATGCATAAAATCAATTGAAAGAATAATATAGCCTTAAATAAAATTTCTTAGCGACTTCATTAGGATGTTATTGTGTTATGAAGTCTAAAACTTTTCTAAGAAAAAGATTAACCAAATGTGGAAGAGATCTTTTCCACAAAAAGGTAATTCAAATAACTAATGATAGAAAATCAAAGCAAACACTAACAAAAAGCTCAAAAACTTCTTTATTGTCATTAAAACTTCTGGTAATTTGCTAAGCACTTTTAATTTATTCTTTACGAATTACTAAATTTTTGGACAAAATACATACAATTTTTTGGAAATATGTATATATGTAACTTGATTAAATATATATTATTTTATTATTTTCTTAAAGAGTAATTGATTTGGTAATTTTATGTTGAAATATAGTTAACTTAATATGTGCTTGAAAGTATATCATCATATATTTTATAAAATGGACAAAAAATTAATAGATCGAAAAACATGACAAAACCAACAAAAATCTAATAAATCGTAACCCAACAAAATTTACAAAACCGAAATGATTAAAAACTGACTTAATTGGTTGGTGTAGATCCAACATTTGGAAAATCAACTCAATTGACCGGCTAAGATATCTCAAAGCATGCCTTAATGCTTTAAAATATGATTAGTTGGTAAGATATGGTTCGCCTACTTGGGGTTAGTGTGGATATCAATCACGGCAGTTTAGATCATGACAAAATTGATATCATAATTTTAGGTTTGTCGAACTCAATGTACAAGAACATGTCTCATAAAGTCCAATGGAATGGTACATAGACATATGTTCTGCTCTACGAGAGGCTACAAGACGTTAAGAAAACTCATTTTTTTCTTTTCTTTATGTTATTACTTGATTCCAATTGGTATCTGATAATCCAAATGGATATCTAACTCTTTCACGCTTTTCTCTTAGAAATGGTGAGAACATAATCAGGAGAAGCTAGATCTATGACAGTTGTTGAGGCCATAATACATAATAGGGGATGAGAGGATCAGATGATTCGTCAAAGGTCTGAATGTGGGACTTTAGTTAGCAGCACTCCTGATAGTGTCTTTTGGGAAGACTTTTCAGGAAGTGGTAGAGCATGTGAGGAAAACCGAATTCCTTCTTTCCTTCGTACCATCATTTTTTATTCCAATTGGTATTTGGCAATTCAAGTATATATCTAAATTTTTCACTTTTTTTTCTTAGAAATGGCGAGGACATATTTGGGAGAATCCAAATCTAAGACATCTGATCCTACCATTGTGGTCATATCTCATGATAGAGATGTGTTAGAGGAGGCTTTCGGGGTAGGAAATGAGAAGCAACCATATCCATGGACAAATATGAAACAGATCAGAGACTCTCGCACCTTTAGAGGCTCCTGAAAAGCGGAAGTGGAGACATAGGCACCATTCTAGGAAAATGTTGCACCCATTCCAACTTCGCTAGATATGTTAAATCATGTGATAACTTTGCTGGGTAGTTTGAAAGAGACTGGGGCGACACTTACAATTCCCACAAGGCAGTATCCAGGAGTTAAGCATGTGGTTATGGCTCTACAGATGGACAAGATTTTTTTAAAAAGGTGTTTTTTAGACCGATGATTGGATCAACAATGATTGGAGATGGGCATGATCTATTTTGGAGGTTCACTAAAATGAAGCGAGTTTATCATTGATTGTCATGAGAAGCTTCATAAGATGGGAGAGGAAGAGATATGGGATGGAGTTTGTCACTTTTCAGCTAGTGGATGGGGTGGTTACACAGCAGATAGAGATGGTACCCATCCTATTCGAGATGATGGTCAGGCCAGCAATAATTAGCTCAGTTGAGGCAATTCGTAGGCAGGAGGTCAGACTCACTTCTCTGGGTTTTTTTCGGGCACACATGAGGAAGAAGTGTCTGATGTAGTGACCACAGGTATTATTCTAGTCTATGATTGAATGGATACATCCTTGTTTAACCCCGATTCACCTTTTCATATGTGCCTATTTATTTTGTTGTGGGTTTTGGTATGATTTGTGAATCACTTGATGTTCATATTTATATTTCTATACCTTTGGGGGATTTTGTGATTGTTGATAGAGTATTATTTTTGTATGGCGAATTTTATGGGGTATAAAATCTTGAAAGACTTGGTGATCTTTGACATGGTTGATTTTGATGTCATTTTGGGGATGATTTGGTTGTCTTCATACAATGTTATTTTTGACAATCATGCCAAGATAATTTTCATATCTATGTCAGGGATGTCTGGGCTTGAGTGGAAGGGTAATTGTAGTTCTACTCCTAAAAAAATCATATCTTTTATTTTTTGCCAAAAGACATTAGAAGTGTTGTAACCACATATGAAAATTTATTCTAGAAGAGTGTAAAAAGGAATCCTATTTATGAAGTATCATTTATATTATGAATACAAAGTGAGAAGCCCAAAAGAAATGTTGAGCGGCCCAAGATAGTTTGTCAAAACGGGTCAGTCCAGTCCCACCCAGCCGAAGCCACGTGGTTGGCATTTGGAAGGCAGGGTCTTATTTTACTTTGTTTACTCCGACAAAGTTCTTAGAGTGTTACGCCATTCATCTTCTTTACTACTGAATCACTGTTTCTTCAACGCTCTCAATTGTTCATCGTCATCTTCATCATGTCAACAAAGGCGAAGCTACAAATATAACTACATTTATCCATCTCTAATTTCAATTTCTCTTAAAGGTAAACAAACAATTATTCTTTGTCTTTCACTAGGAAATAAAATCAAAGCGTCATTTTAGTGTCTTCTTTCTCATTTGGAAGTTCCTTTTAATGAATTATTTTTTTTTGTAAGACTTTTCAATGGAGAATCTACCAGAGTCACCATTTTCTGAATCAACATTGGGATCATCGTCACCATCGCCATCACAGAAAAATCCTAATGACTTGGGTGCTCTCACTCCAAATCAGTTGGTGCTATTGATCCATGATGCTAGTCTTCGTGAAGAGGTCATGCATCACCTCTACGAGGTATATGGCACGTTTAATTTTTAAAATACTTTTTATTATACAATCTATTTTATGTAAGTGTTAATTAATGTTGTATATATGTTTGTTATGTATTGTTGTTTTCTACTTGATAGTCGTTTGATGGGTGAGATAGAGAGGCAAAAAAGTTCATCGATCGTTGATTTTTTTTCGTGATGTTTTTTAATTTGACATTAGATTTCACAATTAATGAACTTTTGTTAGTGGTCTTTATAGAAATTATGATGACATGATTAGTTTCTCTTTCTATATTTTAAGAAAATATGTCATATTTACCCACAATGTGCATGATGTAGAATTCAACATGACCCCAATTTAACATTTTATTTGAAAATCAAATTTTGACACATACGTTGCACGTGTATAATTCGATGTTGATTAGTGCAAATTTCTTAAAACATTAGAAATAATATTTGTTGAATAATTGTGTGATGAATTGGACAAAATTGATCAAAGGGAAGGATGCATTCTCAAATTTATGAATAGTACAATCAATCGATATTTATTATCGTTATAAAGCACAATCACACCACAAATTTCATTCAAATGAAGTTTAAATGATCCCCTTCATTCTTCTCTCATTTAAGAAAAAGTAAATCTTATTTATTGAATTATAATAAAAATATACACCATATTTTTAGAAAAAAATAATGTAATGAATGTTTTCTTGTTTCAAGATCATACAAAATGTATGTACTAATTGAAAGTCAACAAATCTATCTATCTATCGCAAATTGTAATGGAATTACATTTATTAGACTAGTATTTGTTTTGTCTAGATGTATTTTATGATGAGTTAGAAAGTGTTGATACTATTTTCAAGTTCTTATTAGTTAGTGCTAATTTGGTTTAGCATTTTACTTAATTTATTTTTTATTTTATTTTTATTTTTATTTTTTTTTATACTAAAAACATATTATTAATATAGTTTAGCCAAACAACCTACATATTATAAAACTAATATTGAAAAATATAAATATATTGGGAGAAAATCTTCCCATAAATAAAATTTTCTAAACACTACATCGCGGATGCTATTTTGTTTCCTTAATTTATTTATTAATCTTATGCTTTACCAATTTTAATTATACATTTAATTTGTTTTCAACTTACATATAATTCATCCACTTTGAATCTGTTCGGATTAGAGGTTTAAAAGTAATTGATAAGCATCGAGTATTGAGTTTGGTCCTCGCTAAACTTGTGATAAAACATGTGCCCAACATGAGAAGCCCGAAAAAACGTGAGGCTCACGATAGTTAGCATATCAGCGTCTGAAACAGACAAAAAGACTTTAACTGTTTTATTATTAGGTTATCGGTTCTTAAAGGCTGGATTTTTTTAACAGGTTAACCGATAACCGATAACCTCAAAGAAAGTCACTTGATCTTCTTTTAGAACCTCAAAGTCACTCAACTAAGGATTCTTCTCATTGAAAGTCACTCAATTTTCTTTTATAACCTCAAAATCACTGAACTACGGATATAAAAGAAAGTTGACTTTCTCATAAAAAAAACTTAATTGAGTGACAATTTTAGAAATATTCTAATCTAACTACTGATTTGTGTTAGATTGACCTCAGAACCAAATTTTATTCAAGAAGAAGTGCAAAAATAACCAATTTGAGGACCCTTTTTTTTATATATAAAAAACACTTCTGAACTTATAAGTTAAGCACAAATTGTTGTTCTAATATCATCAAAATTAATTTTCATGTTAATTAGTTAAACATAAATTGTTACTCTTCAAAAGTACTGATAAGCATTTCTGACAAACAACACTCTTCATTTTAAACATCTGGCAAAACAAATTTTAGTCCTTTTTTAATCCTCTAAAAGTGCTAGTAATTGTCATATTCTGAGTTGGTGACTTTTGTTATATATTTCAGAAGAAAGATTCATGCAAAAATCTAGCTCTGCTGCTGTGGAACAACTTCAATACAGTTTACATGCTTTTGCTGGTATACCTCTTTTTAAGTTTTGCAGTTTTATATTCTGTTGGATAATCTTAGATTGAAATTTTAGAGACCTCCCGTTTAAAAGTTTAAGATGTGACAGAGAGAACATTTTTGATACCATACATGTTAAATTATGTGAAATTTAATCGGAAACATATCAAACGCTCGCATTTTGATGTGCAAGAAATTGTCAATGTGCGCGTAATAATATTTGTTTTATGAATTTCAGGAAGTCACATCAGTGTATAGCAAGTTTTCACCCTCAATGCTATCTATGAAGGAAGCAACTCGAGTTTGTTGTGCTCTTGCTTTGTTTCAGGTCAGTAATATACCATCAAAATAGTGTGTTATAATTTATACTATTGAAGTAACAAAAAAGTCAGAATGATTGAGAAAGAGAGCCATCTGATTTCATTCGTTCTCAATAGCCACGAGATGATCAATGCACTAGTAAATTACGCAAGACTTGTTACATGTAAGAAGTAATGTATGCATAACTAATGCAAGAATTACTAATTATACACTCTATTGAACATTATTTTTATACACTCTACCAAACGATTCCTAAATGTTTTTCAAATCAACTTTTTCCTCAAATTTAAGAAAAATGACTTACATCCAAAGAGTAAAGAAAATAGTTTCTAAAACTTTTTTTCAACCTCACACCTCAACTTTCCACCCTAACTCAATCCTTGGGTACTGAATTCCGATATAATTTGAAATATGACTCCTAATTCTCGATTCGATTCTTGACTCTCAACCTTGATTTGAGATCCAACTTTGTGGTCTCGGAATGGGGTCGGGGTCAGATCCCAATTTGGGTGTCGGGTCCTCAATCACGATTCGAGATTGGGTGTTAGAGTCGAGTCTCGAGCTAAGTTAGGGTGGGATCCATAGTCGGGTGTCGGAGTTGGATCTTAGGTCAAGAGTCGAGGTTAGATTTTGATTTGGAAGTCGGGTAATGGATCAGGTGTCAATATCAAATCCCAGTTCGGATGTTGGATCCCAAGTCGGAAGTCGGGATCAAGTCTTGATTTGAAAGTCGATCCAGAGTCGGGTCGTGTTTCAGGGTCAGATCCTAATTTGGCTGTCTAGTCTCGAATCAGGATTCGAGATCAAATTTGGGTCGGGTGTAGGGGTTGAGTTCCGAGCCAAGTGTTGAGATGGGATCCTGAATCGGGTGTCGGAGTTGGGTTTCAAGTTTAAGAGTCGAGGTCGGGTCCCGAATCGATCGTTGGGGTCATATGTTGGGGTCGGATATCGATTTGGAAGTTAGGTTCTAGATCAGGATCATCAAGTCCAGGTTCGGAATTCAAGTCTCGATTAAGGATCATGTACCGGTTTGGAATTCGATCTAGTGTCCGAAGTCGCGATCGGATCCCGAATCAATCACCACGGTCTTGTCCAGGTTTGAGTGTTGGATCGGGTTCTAGGTCGGGAGTTGAGCTTAGGTCCTCGGTTGCATGTCGAGTTCGGATCCCGAATCGGTTGTTAGGATCGTGTCTCAATTTGGATGTTGAGGTTGGTTCTGGATCAAATATCGGGTTTGATTTTCGGGTCAATTTCTATTTTACTAAAAAGTGCTTTCTACACTCTGACAAAAAAACAAAAGATTTTTAAAAAAAAAAGATTTTTCAAACACCAACCAAACACTAGAAATTAAAATACTTCCCAAAAAATATTTCACTCACCAACCAAACACTAGAAATTAAAATACTTTCCAAAAAATATTTTTCACTCACCAACCAAACATGAGAAATAAGTTAAAAATCAACTTGTTTTCCAAGAAAACATCTTCTAGGAAATATTTTCCATTCATACCAAACACACCTACCTGAGTTTTTTTTTTTTTTTTTTTTCAACTTTTGTGGTATAATGTTCTTCATATTTAACTTCCTGTGACACATTTTCTTAGAAAGAGTAAAAGAGTTGTAATGCAATTTTTGTGTAAGACAACCGATAAGTGTGTGCACAACATATAATTTTTATGGTTATATTCTTCAGGTTTTGGCTAATAACCCAGAAACAAGAAGGGGCCTCATAAAAGGTAATGTCAGTTCTTGAAATGACACCAATTGAAATGAAATTAACGCGCGAAACTACTCGTTAGAGTGAATCAAGTTACTGTAAGAATTATTTTTACTGTAGTGTAAGAAACAGTTAACTTTTCTAGTAATTTCATTTTGCAGCTAAAATACCATGTTATTTCTATCCATTTCTCAAGCCTTTTGGAGATGATGAGCATTTGGAGCATGTGAGGATCACTACCTTGGGTGTTCTCGGTGACCTGACAAAGGTATCCATCCATTTGAACAGATATACACGCGCGTTCTCCATTTGTGGAAGTGCTACTTCATGATTCTGATATTTTGCTTGCTGGTGCAGTTTGATGATCCAAATGGATCACATGCCCTTCATTTCTTCTTGGAATCGGAAGTGGTTCCTTTGTGCCTGAAGTGCATGGATGTATGTGATGAAATGTCACGGAAGGTTAGTCCATTCTGTTTTATTAATAGTGTTTCTGAATTACTTTGCCGGTTTATGATGATATTCTGTTTCTTGGATCTCATATGAAATGAATGTTGTACCTCCACAGGTTGCAACTCTCATAGTTATGAATATTCTGACGCAAGAGAGGGGACTGACCTATTGTTGTGCTACGCGTGAACGCTTCTTCGCGATAGTACAGGTCTTGAGACGAGTGGTTGAGAAACTTTCTCCAAAACCTTGTTTGCTGCATCTAGAATATGTGATACAGTGTTATGTATGTCTGTCAAAAATATTTAGGTCCATCGGGTAAACATTCTCGTCCCTGCTGTTCAAGTTTCATGATTGCGATTTCTCTGTAAGTATCAACTATATCTCTCTTGGATTTATTGTTTGATCAACCTTCACAATGCAGGCCATGTGATGCATTCGTAAGACAAATTCCTCCTCAGCTATTTGACAACACCTTTAGGCGCACTCTTCTTGTGAGTTTCATCTGCTCTCATTTACAGTTACAAAAACTAGTCTTGTTACTTTAGTGTTACAAAAAGTTAGTTACTTTACTCTTACAAAAAAAATTGTGACTTTAGTGTTGCAAAGAGTAAGTTTAGTACTGACCATCGATAAATCTCTTTTGTATCAATAAAAAAACATAGATCTTTTCAACTACTGTTACAGATTAATGTGTATAATTGTAAACTTTTGTATGTCTTTGCAGCATGACCACGAAGCTTCGTGGATGTTGCAGGTGCTACATCTCAATATTTATGGATGTCTATATTTTCCACCAATTGAAGAGAGAAAAAAGATTGCAAAGAAGGCTGCATCAAGTTCTGCATCAAGTTCAAAGGGCAAGGGAAAGGGAAAGAAGTGAACTTGTTCTGTAGGAAAAGACAGCAAATAATGACCTCAGTAGAGGGAATAATATTTTAAGTTAACTGTTCAACTGTGAAAAGCTCGAGAACTTCTTGAGCCTCGTTAAGACTGATACTTTTGCTTTGTTGTGTACTGAATGGTAGCTTTGTTCAGCTGAAATGAAGTTATCTTATTAGCAGTTTCCTGTATTGCAACTTTGTCAATGTCTTTTTTCACGACATATTTATGCTTTATTTGAGCCGAGGGTCTATTGGAAACAACCCTTCTACCTTCACAATCTACCTTCACAAGGATAAGATCTGTGTACGCACCATCTGTTGTGAACCAAGCTGACTCCGTAAGAGCCTATGGGCTTTTAGAGGCTTTTATTTGGGATCCAGGCCCAATAACCATTTGTTAAAGAGGACTAGGAGTTAGAAGAACGGTTATGAAAATTATGTCGAAGCTTTTGTTGTCAATTATCTCCCATCCCCTTTCTCTGTTCTAGTATCTCATCCCCTTCTAGTTACCTTCTTCTATGCTAATATATCTATAATTAGTATGTTATTACTTTGTTGCTTGTATTATACGTTGTAATTTGTATTCAACCATAACTATATATCTCAGTGTTTGTATTGGAAATCGAGTTTGTTTCATTGGTGCTTTCATCCAGAGGTCTTCAAAGGAGGACCAAATAGTTCGAACAATCAAAGATTCAATTAAGGTCATGAAGGACACTTGGTCGAAGGATCTCGCGGAAATTCGTTCAATATTACACGAGTTGGTTGGAAACCTTCCGACGAGTAAACCTAGCACAATAGAATTTCAACGATTCTGTGGCGAGAATCCAGAGTTATGGTTTTTCCAGGCTGAACAGTACTTTGACTTCTATGAAATTGCAGAAAACCACAAGTAATATCTCGCCTTGTCTTATCTTGATGGAGAAGCGTTGACGTGGTACCAATGGCTTTTCAAGAACAAACAATTGGTAGATTGGAAACACTTCGCTGCGAAAGTGTTAATTCGCTTCTGCAAAGGACATCTCAAATCACAAGAAGGTTGTTTGGCCAATCTTTGGCAGGTACCCACTGTGACTAAGTACCCAAGTCCTTTTGAGGCTATTTCGCCAGGTTTCAGTGAGCCAGATATACTTTCACCATGTCTTGCACATGTGCGTCCACAAAGGAGCGATATATCCAATTTGTTGTTGCCTCAGAACTTTGATGAGAAATCTAAATACCCGACCAAAACTGATGCGCACAAGATGTACGACAAAATGTTAAATAACTGCCCCAAGGTACTCACCTTGGCGCCATTAGATGATCAAATTGAAATGTCTGATGAAGATGATATAAATCTTGACATCAGCGAAATCCAACAGTTTCATGGAAGTCCCCAAAGAGATATGTCAGAGAGGTATGTTACATCAATTTCTTTGGATTCTGGCTCTCCGAAACAATAAATTGAATTTGCGTCCTTTGAAGACATGTATCTTCTTGAATTTTTCTCGGAGCATCAGACTAAGTCATTACTTTTGTTGGGATCTATTGACACGTTTTGCTTCATCACGTATGTTAATTATATGACTCAAGTGTGGGATCCAGGACGACGATGGTGTATGCATTTTTCCATTTTGCTCTCTAATCTTCCAGCGACAGGTGTTGCTTCTTTGCAATTTAATTACAATTACACCCACTTGGAAATGAACACTCGGAATAAGTATTACGAGAAGAACTCCAAGGGACTGTTTTCTTTCCGTTCTCGATGCATGAATTTGAAATTTGATGCAAGAGTCGCCTGGAGTTCGTTCCTTAGCTCTAAAAATTGAAAAGTGCAGAATAAAGTCGTTTTGGAATTTATTTACGACTTTAAGTCGTGTCTGGCCCACCACAGCGATCCTCACCCCGCCACAGCGGCCCCACCAGAGCGACCAATACCACCGCCAAAGCAGCTTGCACAAAATAGTGAGCTATTTTAATAATTCCAAGACCCCCATTTCACAACACACCTTTTACCAACGACGCTCAGAAAATACCGTTTACGCTAAGATCGATTCCGGGAGTTTTACTCACCCGAATTCAATTCTGTAAAGTCGTACGGATTCCTTAATGACTTATCTAACTACTCATGTAATCAAAATCATAAATAATTCAGCCGATTGTTACCATATTTCCCTACACCTTAATAACTCTGATTTGGTCCAAATCTGAACTAGGTTGGGAAATTTCAAGTCACTACGAAAAAGTTTTCCGGCCCAATTTTTTTCCCCATTGCCTTTTTTATAACGACGGAACCCGATCGTTACAATAGATACCAATTTACCCATCACTCGTCCCCGAGTGACAAACTTAGGAAAAATTAGGCTAAGGAAAGAATGAAGTAGTACCTGAATCGACGAACATTTGGGGATACTTGCCTCTGATGTCTCTCTCGGTTTCCCAAGTAGCTTCCTCAATTGGACTATGCTTCCGTTGAACCTTCACGGACTTAATCTCTTTGGTCCTCAACTTGCACACATCACGATCAAGAATTACAATCGGTTCCTCCTCATATTGTAGGTCTTTGTCTAACACGATTGAATCTCATTTAATGATGTAATCCCCATCACCATGATATCTCTTCAATATGGACACATGAAAGACCGGATGAACACCCGATAGATTAGGAGGTAAAGCCAATATATACGTTACCGGTCCTACACACTCGAGAACCTCAAAGGGACCAATGTATCGCGGACTTAGTTTGCCCTTCTTGCCAGATCTCATCACACCTTTCTTGGGTGATACCTTAAGAAGAACATTTTCACCGGTTTGAAACGCCATGTCTCTTACCTTATGATCCGCATACTTCTTCTGTCTACTCTAGGCTGCTAGAAGCTTAGCTTGAATACTCTTCACCTTATCTTGAGCATCCTTCACTAAATCAACCTCCAATGGTTTCACATCCCTAGCCTCAAACCATCATATGGGTGATCTACATCCCCTCCCATAGAGTGCCTCAAATGGTGCCATATCTATGCTGGAGTGATAACTATTATTATAGGAGAATTCACACAAAGGTAGGAACTTATCCCAATGCCCTCCAAAATCAATCACACATGCCCTCAATATGTCTTCTAATACTTGAATAGTCCTCTCTGGCTGTCCGTCTGTCTGTGGATGGAAGGTAGTACTAAAAGTGAGTTACGTGCCCAATTCATCATGCAATTTCCTCCAAAACTTGGATGTGAATTGGGTACCACGGTCTGAGATGATAGAGAGGGGCACCCCATGCAACCTCACTATCAAACTTTAGCCAATTGTTCAGCATTATAATCTATTCTCACCGGAATAAAATGGGCTGACTTAGTCAACCTATCAACCACTACCCAAATAGAATCAAACTTCCCCAAAGTCTTGGGAAGACCAACCACAAAATCCATGGCTATCATTTCCCACTTCCATTCCGGAATTGGCATTCTTTGAAGCAAACCTGCAGGCCTTTGATGCTCATATTTTACTTGTTGGCAATTTTGACACTTAGCCACAAACTCCGCTATATCCTTCTTCATGCCCGACCACCAATACATTCGCTTCAAGTCTCGGCACATCTTCGTCACACCTGGATGAATAGAATATCGCGAACCATGAGATTTTGCCAACATTTTCAGAATCAATTCATCAACTCGAGCAACACAAATTCTCCCTTTAAAACTGAGCACATCTTCCGTATCAAGAGTGGTCTTTTGTGCCTTACCAATCGCAATTTTCTTTCTAAGCTCCTCCAAATTCTCATTCTCAAATTGTTTGGCCTTGATCTCCTCAATGAGCGTTGCCCTAACCTCAATGCTAGCTAACACCCCCACCTCTTTCTGAGATGCCCAACTACATGAACTTAGACTTTAAGGCCTGAATTTCCTTAGCCAAAGGTCGCTTAGATACCCTCAAGCAAGCTAAACTACCCATACTCACCGTTTTTTGACTCAAAGCGTCTGCCACCATATTAGCCTTCCCCGGATGGTATTGAATGGTCACATCATAATCCTTGAGTAACTACATCCACCTTCGTTGTCTCAAATTCAAATCCTTTTGAGTGAACACATGTTGCAAACTACGATGACCAGTAAACACTTCACACTTAACACCATAGAGGTAATGCCGTTATATCTTAAGAGCAAACATTATTGCTGCCAACTCCAAATTATGTGTTGGATAATTCCTCTCATGCACCTTCAATTGACGCGAGGCATAAGCTATAACATTCTTATCATGCATCAACACAACACCCAAACCAGAACGTGAAGCATCACAAGAAACAATAAAAATTTTACCTTCAACCGGTAATGCTAGAATAGGCGTAGTGGTCAAGAGAGTCTTGAGCTTTTGGAAGCTCTCCTCACATTTTTCAGTCCATTCAAATGGTATCTCCTTTTTGGTCAAATTAGTCAAGTGAGTGGCAATAGAAGCAAAGTTTTTTCACAAATCAATGATAATAACTAGTGAGCCCAACAAAACTCCTAACTTCCGTCACAGAGCTAGGCCGAACCCAATTCTTAACCGCCTCAATCTTTTGAGGATCTACCAGTACCCCTTCTTTTGAAACTACATGTCCTAAAAATACAACAGAAGTCAACCAAAATTCACACTTCGAAAATTTAGCATACAACATTTGTTTCCCAAGAACACCCAAAACAATGTGAAGATAGTCGGCATGTTCTTCCTCACTTTTCGAATAGACCAAAATATCATCAATAAAGACTATGACGTAAGAATCAAGAAATGGCTTGAACACCCCATTCATTAAACTCATAAAAGTTGCAGGCGCATTGGTCAAACCAAAAGACATAACCAAAAACTCATAGTGCCCATAGCGAGTTCTAAACGTCATTTTGGGTACATCCTCAGGCCTAATTTTCAACTGATGGTAGCCAGACCTTAGATCAATCTTGGAGAAAACTGATGTACCTTGCAATTGGTCAAAAAGATCATATATTCGAGGCAAAGGATACTTGTTTTGAATAGTGACCTTATTCAATTGCCGGTAATCTCTACATATTCTCATACTACCATTTTTTTTCTTAACAAACAAAATTGAAGCACCCCATGGGGAAGAACTAGGACGAATAAATCCCTTATCAAAAAGCTCTTGGATTTGAACATTAAGCTCTCTTAATTC